ATGTGAACCCTGCCTTGGTCAATGACCTGCGCCAGTTACTCGTCTTGGATGACGACGAGATCATCGCCGGACTGGGCGAGGAATCGCCTGCTTACCTGGTGGCAGCCCAGGATTACCAGAGAGGGTCGTCACGGCTGGAGTGGTGGCAACTACATCATCTGCTGCTGCAGAGCGAGTATTCTCTCTATTGGTTGGTTGGATTTATTTAAAGTCGTACAACAAACAGGCATATCTGCCTCCTTATATGAAGACGATTTCATATTGAGTGCTGCATGCTCTTCGTCACAAAAGGGGATGCTAGAGGATAGTCTACAAGCCACCGTCATGCTTCCGTACAACCGTGGAAGGCTAGCACTGGAGAAGCTTAGAAAAGTTGGACACTGAGAAACGTCAACATGTTCAGTCAGCCTTCACATCATGCAACATTCCGCATCTTCGTGCTAATGTAAGGCCACACGGGGCGCGTCGGACCTGCCCATTGCTTCCATTCTTTATGTGATTATTCTGTCCCTTCCTATCAGTCCTGTGCAAACTACATTTTACCTTAGTCAAGTTGGATGTGTTACGGACATGCATTGATCCCACCTACGCATGACATTGCCGCACTTCCACCCATCTCGATCGCAATACCCACTGTTTGTACTGAGTTCACCATACCATTAGATGGGACCGCAGCATAGCATAGGCATCATTGGCATAATTCCAGCATCATGTAGCATAATCACTGGCATAATTTGGGCATAAGGGAAAGCATAATTCAGCACTTTACCGAGCATAATCCGCCAAGGGCTAGAGTTGACTAAACATCCAAAGGCCTGCTGAGTATAGCCAGGCAGCTTGAGTGCCATGGCACTGCTGCTAACAGGGTCATGAGCTTGGTTAGTACTGTACAGCATGCATAGAGTCACCTCACCTCAGCCCAGCACACAACACCAACAACTCACAATAGCCAGGCAGCTTGAGTGCCATGGCACTGCTGCTAACAGGGTCATGAGCTTCGTTAGTACAGCATGCATAGAGTCACCTCAGCCCAACACGCAGCACCCAAAACTCACGCCACTAGGTTCTTGTTCAGCATGACGATCACGCTCTGGTATTGGCTGTCGGCCTCCACTTCACGCTCCCGTGCCTCGTCTGCCTCGCGACTAGACCCACCTGCTTTCTCCTGCTGGCTGCCACTGTACCCGATACCGCTACTGGTAGACACAAGCGGTCTACACAGTCACAGTCACATGTACACAGTCACATAGTCACAGAGACAGACACACAGACACAGACACACAGACACAGACACATAGTCATAGAGACAGGTACATAGCCACAGTCACACAGACACACAGTCATAGTCACAGGTACACAGTCACAGACACACAAAGGAAGATAGGAGTGAGTACGTGACTTGGCTAGCATATGATGGGTACTAAACGAATACAAGTAGTGTCAGTGCATTGTACTCCAGGATATGCTGGTATACTCTTCTCTACAGATACAGCATCGCCGGTCACCAAAGAACTGGGGGGGGGGGGGGGGTCAGCCTCCTAGCTGAGACCGTTCTTATCTTCATGTACAGGAAAACCTGTGACTAACGACCACCCCTTGGGGCCAGAGAAAGCGGTCTTTAGTGACAGGTGGTCCTTAGTCAGAGGTTTGCACCGCACAAGCATGATATGAATGTGAGACCGTTCGTGCTTGGCGAAGTGGTCTGTAGTACCAGGCTGGTCGCTAGTCACGGTGGTCTTTAGTTACAGGTTTTACTGTAGTACAGTCTATGCACAGTTGAGTCACCGGCTATACATTGGTATGCTGTACTTGGCCAAATTCTAGCCTGGTCGTTCTTCGGCGCTCCGTTCTTCGGCGCTCCGTTCTTCGGCGCCTGGCAGTGATGTGCGCCCCCATTTCCTCCTTCTGCAGCGTTTTCCCACTGGAACCCTAAATACCTTTTGAATCCTAATACTCACTTACGATTCCTTAGAAAAGTCGAGGCCTGACTAGTTCCCAGTACCTCTAACTTAGCAAGCACCTATGGAGCTGGGTGTGACACCCCGCTACAAACTCACTTCTTCTTTTTCTTGCCGGCCACTTTTGAACCCTCTACCTCTAACTTAGCAAGCACCTATGGAGCTGGGCGTGACGCCCCCGCTACAAACTCACTTCTTCTTTTTCTTGGCGGCCACCGCCAGAGCCGTGTCGGTGCTGGTGTCCAGATGTAGTACGGTGTTAAGACGCTTGCAGAGCACAATGGCACTGAACAGCTGTGCGCTCGGACACGCGGTGTGTGTCTGGCAGTTTACAGCCACTTTGCTTGCAGCGCTGGCTCGGCCCTGCGCAAGATAAAGGCACATCCGGGAAAAAAAACACGTTTATTAGAAGAAAAGAGGACCAATAAGCTACACGTTACGCTATAATATCCACTAACACCACCAGTTACTTGGTCCGTTTTATCGCAATTGTCGCTTATCTATCGCAACTAAGAACAGGAGATTTTTTACCACTCTGTGAAATTTCCAATAAGCATAGTGAAGAAGCATGATACATGAATACTTTCCGCCACAAGAAAAAAAATAAAAATCCAGCAATGGAATCTGATGAAGCAAGTCGAAGAAAGGAAGCAAAGTCAAGAAAATGTACAAAAGAAAACAGCGACTTTATTCTTTATTCTCTTTATCTTATTATTTCTTTTCTATAATTTCCCCATATGAGTTCTTATCAGTTGCTGTGAACACCTTGAGTGGAGAGCGCTTGCTCGAGTGTTGAACCCGGGTTCTTAATCCACCATACCCAGTTCGCAAGGCTGGGCGGGGTTGTGAGCAGGCTTTGATTTCATCTTTTCTTATTATTTCTGCTTTTCATCTCATTACAAAAAATTCTGCGCATTTTTTCTCCATCTGCGCATAAAATGTAAACTGACAACCTGCTTGTTAAAATCATGCACCTGCTTTCAGGCGTAAAAACCCTGTTGTAGAGGTCTCAGTCCTCATTTGTTAGACTGTCTTTATAAATGTAACTTTCTCTCTCTCTCTCTCTCTCTCTCTCTCTCTCTCTCTCTCTCTCTCTCTCTCTCTCTCTCTCTCTCTCTCTCTCTCTCTCTCTCTCTCTCTCTCTCTCTCTCTCTCTCTCTGTCTCTGTCTCTGTCTCTGTCTCTGTCTCTGTCTCTGTCTCTCTCTCTCTCTCTCTCTCTCTCTCTCTCTCTCTCTCTCTCTCTCTCTCTCTCTCTCTCTCTCTGTCTCTCTCTCTGTCTCTCTCTGTCTCTCTCTCTTTGTCTCTCTGTCTCTCTCTTTGTCTCTCTTTGTCTCTCTCTGTCTCTGTCTCTCTCTGTCTCTGTCTCTCTCTCTGTCTCTCTCTCTCTCTGTCTCTGTCTCTGTCTCTCTGTCTCTCTCTCTGTCTCTGTCTCTCTCTCTCTGTCTCTGTCTGTCTCTCTGTCTCTGTCTCTGTCTCTGTCTCTGTCTCTGTCTCTGTCTCTCCCTGTCCCTGTCTCTCTCTGTCTCTCTGTCTCTTTGTCTCTCTGTCTCTCTGTCTCTCTGTCTGTCTCTCTCTCTCTCTCTCTCTCTCTCTCTCTCTCTCTCTCTCTCTCTCTCTCTCTCTCTCTCTCTCTCTCTCTCTCTCTCTCTCTCTCTCTCTCTCTCTCTCTCTCTCCCTTTGTTTCACCTTAGAAGGGATCTCAGCACGTGAACTGCGCAGCCAGTCTGCGCAGGTGAGATTTTCGATCCCAAACGCGTCCAGTGCAGAAACCGTGGAAAACAACATTTTTTTCGAAATAAATCAGTTGAAGAAGACAGTAGAAATGGCTGAATGTTGCGTCCAGGAAAGCACGTTCTACGGCCATCTCCAAGCTACCTATCTCCCAGACACTCTCTCAGAGGAACTATGGAGGGTCAAAGAGCACAATATTTCACTCTTGGACGCAGCGTGAACACCTCTTCTACTTCTTCAACTGATTAATTTCGAAAAAAACTGTCTCTCTGAGTGATAATGGCGGCGATCTTTACGATGGCTGATGCACTGAAAATCGAAGTTAGGACAATCTAACCGGAGAAAACGTCTGAATTTTTGACTGAATCTTCTCTGAAGTGGGTTCTTGCCGCATGGCAAATTATAGGAAAATCGACCGGGGCGATATCGCCTTGGCCACACTGTCCTTCGGCAGGAATCGCAAAGTATGTTCGAACGACGATGAAGATGACGATTCCGCTGGTGTCCACCGCTTCCGCTAGTGTCAAAAATCGACCGTCGCCATTTTCTGCTATGTCCGCGAGCTGCACTCAAAACTCGATGACGCAATGTATGCACAAACACCCTGCACACTGCACGCGCTGAGATCCCTAACCTTAGACGACGGAGACGGAGTGCCAGCTTGCACATGAGAGCACAGCGGGCATGCCAGCAACTGGCACAACCGATTTGTACAGCGAAGCATTGGTGGCTCGCAAAAAAAACCGCTGGCCGCTCGCTTCAGCGTTCCCTGCACTCAAACACGGAAGAGAAACAGAGCAGAAACGACAAGCCACAGGTTGTGCAAAGAGGCTACGACAGCATACTGGTTTTAGTATAGTGCCGTTCAATGAAATCCAGTCGAGTTACTCAAGTAAGCGCCGGGAGTTGCACAGCCCTAGACCTGCGAACACTGGGCTGCGCAATGGTGCAAGGTGCAAACTTGACTGACGCAACCGGATTTCATTGAGCAGCACTGTTCTTGACCTCTAGCCCCATGGTGGGGATTTCAGTCACGTGATCTGCGGGGGCAAAAGTGCCTTGACGCACTTGCATGCTTTTTGAATGACAGGCATGGCACAGAGGAGCGGAGCGCTCTTCGGCGTAAATTTGAGGTTTCAGAGTGAGTTTAGGTCATTTTTATCGACACACCGTTGAAGAGTGGGTTTCAAGCTTTTGTTTGGTGCCTCACACAGCGAATTCGTGTCGAAATTGCGCATCTCGATAGATTCTTGTAGATTTCAACGTCGCTTTTGACGTGTTTGCCTTACTTGCACGCTCAAGCGGCAGTCAAAATCAGATTCTACGGCATCGATTTATGCTAGGTAGCTTGGTTGAGAGGCCATGAAGGGTCGCGATCGTTCGCGGAAATTGTTTTGAAGTTGAACGCCATTACACAGTATGGAGGTGGAGAAGAAAGACGATTGGCTTCCGTCTTCCTCTGTGTTCATGGTGTTGTCCCGGGCAAGTGAGGAATGGCCTAGTGGTAGTTGAACTCTCGTTGAGGGCGAGAAGTAAAAATTATACCAAGTAAGTTAGCCCGGCATAATTTGATTTTGCTAGTTGCAGCCGTGGCCGTGGATGGAAAGGATTTTGAGACGATGTGAAAATTGCCAGGAACACAAAATCGGGCGCATCAGAGAGTGGAGAAAATTGCTGAAGAACAAGGCAAGTGACGACCACAGTGAATTACTAAGTCATACTGCCTCTCAATCAAATTGTAAAGCAGATAACCACACACTGAACGAAAAATCGTATCTTGTCCAAGAAAGAAACATTGAACTGCAAGGACAATTGTGGGCTGCAGGGATTGCAAATTGCATGACTTGTATAAGTTTGGAAAATTATATCAGTGTTATCAAATTTCCACACCTGAGCAGTCGTACGTGCTGAGGTGTGGACATTTGCAACAGTTCATGTCCATGATGGACCAGCCGTTGATGTCAGTACTGAAGCAACAGTTGATGTTGATGCCGGCGCAGCAAATGATGGCGCTTTCGAGCCCGCACCCGGCATAGCAGGTCTTGACCCTGTGTGTGGCACCAGACGTAATCTTCCATGTGTCATACAGGCCCTTGCATAGTTGTTCCAGGCTGTTTTTTTACTCAAATTATCTCTTATAAATACCCACCGCTGGCTGACTTCTATGTACAATACTCAATAGCCTCTACGCTCTAGTATGATCGTTGTGCTGCTAATGTGCGTCTCTGACTCGTTGCAGCCGAAAACGGGCCCTGTGTGACATCAGAGCTTGCTGTCTACTCCTCTAGTTTCCCACATGCATACTACTGTATGGCAGGAAATTTTCGGACGGAATTTATTTTCGTACGATTTCGTACACGGCCTCTTTTGTACTAAAATTAATTCCGTACTAAAATTTGTTCATGTGAAAATATGTACACTATACATGCGTACTGCATGCAAACACGTGCATTTAGCATGCAGCACTGTACGAAAATATAATCCTTACGAAAGTTTTAAATTCGGCTTTGTCCGAAAATATTTCCGTCCGAAAATTTCCTGCTATACAGTATAACTTAAATGTTGTGTTTGCTGTATTTCTGTCATATTTCACCTATTACCATGTTGAATTATGCGTGAAATATACTGTTCCTAGGGCCGTTGCTAAGGACGCCATTGTTGCGGTCATCTGGAATTTTGAAAAAAAACTTTATCTTCCGTTCCGTCACAGCCAGGGCCATCCTTGATCCAAGCTTGGCCACGATCGGATGAAGTTTATTTGTTGCTATGGTGTTGCTAGGGAGTATGGGAGTTCCATTTTGTGCCATCCTGCAGATCCAATTTGTATGTGTGTTCATCAAGGTTGGTGCGCTATGTTTGAATGCTCCTAACTGTGGAAATACTGCTTGGATTCCGTTCAAATTTTCTGTGGACAGTCCTTACACATACTTCAAAGTAGATGCTTCAGAAAAACTTGTTAGTTGGAGCAAAGCGCTGCTCAGAAAAAAACGCCTGAAATCCCTACCCATGGCTGATGCTGCTACTGTCCAGAACAAAGAGTGAAACAGATACATGCCCACACAAATGCCTAGGGCCGAAGCGATTATACCGATTACTCGTATATCACTCGTTATGGATGAAATCGATAATCGTTATGATCGATAACGATTATGACTGTACAGTGCGAGAGCGGTCATGACGTCAGTGCATGTAGGCGATGCATGGCATCTTGCACGCGCGTCATGCGCACCTGTACATGAACGTCGAAGTACACGTGCATGAAGCTGTAGTAGTGTAGGTCCGTACAATCATTGCGCGCTATCGCTAGCGCTTGATCCTTTTGGGTACTGTACTTGTAGTCGTACACTCCGCGCATTCACTGCACTAGTCAGCGTAGCCGGAAAGTATAACAACCGGAAAGCTTGATAATTTTAGGTTGTAGCGAAACTGTGAGTGTGGCTGCCGGCCTTCTATTTTGTTCAGTTCTTGTCAAAAACTTACAGTTACTTTTGATTTTTTGGCGAGGAGAGCAGTGACAATGCTGCCGCCTGTAAAAACGAAAGTTAGTTGGACCAAGAGATCGCCAGCTTGGGCATATTTCGAGGAAGCTGATAGCGTAGTGAGATGCAATTTGTGCAGCCGCGAGTTCGTCCGTCAAAGCGGCACAACCAACTTGTTCTAGCACCTGATTTCTGCTCATAAAGACCTGTACGCCGCTGCGGTAGGGAAAGGACCAGCAACCCAGTCGACAGGAACGACGACTACCAGCAATGTTGAGCGCAGTGACAATGCGACGACCAGTGCTGGAACGAAGCCCGTCACGTCGTTCTTCAGCACAGGTAACTTGCGAAAGTGCGACAGCAGGCGCTCAGGCATGTTGGCAGGCGCTCAGGCATGTTGACGGAGTCGATCATCGGCCTTCTCCATTGTAGAAGACAGAGGACTGATTGTTGATGCCTAATGGCAGAGGAACACTGCTCATATCACGTTGCAAATTTCATTTTGGTCTTTTTGGGCCTGTGTGGATCTTTCACCCGTAGACCCGGGTGCTCGAATGAGACACAGGGTACCAAAACAGAAACAGCTTGAAATTGTACCTAAACTTATTCCGATTTCGTTCAGTTTTCACCTTTACCATCAACATACGGCCCGCTAACGGTATGCCAAATTTCAGCTCTGCCCGGTAAATGGTTTTTGAAATACTCGCGACCCACTTTTTGTTGGGTCCTTGATTCGAGGATGTGGGTCTACGGGACGGTGCTGCCAAAGACCTGCTGAATCTGTGGCTCCGCTGACCATCTTGCTCTCAAAAACGAAGTAGTAAGTTACTACTCCCTGCCCTCAACTGCCATAAGAAGCGTAGACGATGGTAGACCCGTGTGCTTGAATCGGAGACGATCTGACGAGTTCGCTGTTTCTGATTCGAGCACCCAATTTTCAAATAAAAAATCCGAAGGAAATACGACAATTTTACTGCGTTCTGTAAGCTGTGTTGTAGCGCACCCAGGTTCTGAATTCCTGCTGGGTGGGCCAAGCCAGACTCTCTTCCCTGTTCCATCGCCTCTCCAAAAGTATATTCTGACATTGTTGAGATTTACAGATGAGAAATTTCACACCTGTCAAATCGTTTCTGATTCGAGCACCCGGGTCTACGTACCTGTACATAGTTGAACAAATTTTGTTTTTGCAGTCTACTGATGTCCAACATGACACGTATAAAACTTGTTCGGAAAATCGGTAAAACCAATAAATCGATCGTTAGTGTTATTGGTTAATCGTTAAGGCAAAATGGGCAATCGTTTCGGCCCTACAAATGCCCCCCCCCCCCCCCACACACACATGCGCTCACACACGTGCACACGTACACACAAGCACACACACACACACACACACGAACGCACACACACACACCACCACGCATAAACCAGCACCAGCACCACCACGCATAAACCAGCACCAGCATCACCACCGGACACACCACACACCAGGGCATACACGGTCTACCAAGAACAAAAATCACAGGCATTCCCAAGTCTGCGCGAAAAACAACACACTTACTCGCAAGCGCTCTAGCAGTGCGGCACGACCGCCGGAGCGCTTCAACCCTCGCTTTTGTAGCTCTACCTTCATATCCAAGACGCTCAGCTTAGAGATGTCCTGTCCATCGGGTAACGTGACCGGTATGGCGTCCGCACTCAGTGGTTGCTGGCAGCTGCAAGCAGGCCAACACAAGTGAACATAGATAGTGACAGGCAGGCAAACAAACAATGCACGTGCACACACATGCACGTGCACAGACCCATCGTGTAGTAGACTGACAAAAATAGGTCAGGGGTTGAAACGTGCACACAGATAGTGACACGCAGACAAACAATGCATGCGCTCATAAGTAGTACACCCATACGAATGCACGTGCACGTGCACAAACACAAACCCATCGTGCACCAGACCGATAATTATGATTACGTTAAGAGATACGAATTCCGGCAGGGATGGGACCATTGAACGGGTTCAAGGCATTTCGCACTTACACATACTGTAGAACGGCAAATTTTAGCGCCGGTGATATTTCAGCGATTTTAGCGAAAGGAGTGTTTTCGCTAAAGTTTTCCGACGCCAATTGAAATTTTGCATGTACAGTACAGTATTAGTCAGCTCTTTTTCTAACCCTGACACTCGGATCGCTGAAATATTTCATCGAGACTTGGTCCTGATTCAGAAAACGCAAAAAAATTACCCCCTAAAATTACCCCCTAAAATTTACAGTAGATGCAACTCGGGAACCCAATGTCACCATGTAGAAGGCTAGGAGTAACTCTGAGTCTGTCACTTATTTATTAAACAAACGGCGAGCAGACAATAATTCGATAACCGCAAGACAAGCTGAATCGACATTTGTGTATACTTTATTCAAACACCGTCTAAGAAAAAATACATTAAGGGCGACACTACGGCAATGAAAACGTGCTTTCAGCGTATGATTCAGAATATCTATCTGAGGCTGGGTGTATCTAGATTTAAAATATTTTTAAACAAACGGCGAGGAGACAATAATTTGATAACCGCAATCAACAATGATAACCGCAATCAATAAGACAAGCTGAATCGACATTTGTGTATACTTTATTCAAGAAAACTTATTTATTTATTACTGCACCTCGTAGAATGTCAAGACAGCCAATTGAATGGAAGAGAGGGTGAGATCAACCACGGAAGAAGAGAAAAAAGAAAAGAAAAAAGAGAAACACGTACATAAAAGGGGTACTTACCTTGGACATGGTACCCAGACCTCTTTGGCCTGGTCACCGAGATCAGTCAGCTCAATGTAGTGTGACATGCATTGCTCCGTGAACTCCTGCCACGCTGTGCTGCCCAGTATATCTGTGAGCGAGCGTGTGAACAAGAACACATACGACCGCGCACGCATAAACACACGCACACACGTGTAAGCATACACCACACGCACGCACGCACACGCACACACACACCTCAGACCTCAGACCTCAGACATGCCCATCGCGGAAGCGATGATAGCGAACAGCTATGTTAGACATAGCAACTTGTGCTGGGATTACACCATTCAACAGCTTGCAAGGCTGATACACACACACACACACACACAGACACACACAGACACACACACACCGATATGCGGAGACACTTGTGAGGTTTGGCTGTCTACTCTGGTGCTTAGTATGTTATAAATCTTCTGCAAGGACATTTCCTGGTACGGCATCGTGAGGATAATCAAACTCTTACCACAATAGACAGACAGACAGACAGACAGACAGACAGACAGACAGACAGACAGACAGACAGACAGACAGACAGACAGACAGACAGAGAAGCACCAGCTTGATTCTCCACCAAATGGCACAACAGCAAAGGCCCAGCCGCAAGATCCCTAACATGAAACGGCAGATAGCAGAATCATTCCGAAGAAGGCACGGATTTGTCGGAACTTAAGCATGCGTCAGTATCAAATCACACTTCTGCTGTTCAATTTGGTTCACTTCTGTTGTATGAGACAGACACACAGACAGGTATACACACGCATGCGCGCACGCGCACACACACACACACACATGCATGCACACACACACATGTGCGCATGCACACACACACACACACACACACACACACACACACACACACACACACACATGCACACACACACGTGCACACACACGTGCACACACACACACACATGCCCACACACACACGCGTCCACACACACACACATGCCCCCCCCCCCCCACACACGTGCACACACACACACACACACACACACACACACACATGCGCGCGCACGCACACACGCACGCACATACCTTCGATGTGCGGCCACGAAATCGGCGCCCTGCAGCCACCAACGGGACACTCAAACGGTGCGACCAGCAGATTGGACGCGCAGGCTGTATAGAGATTATCACCATCCACCATGGTGTCCACACTAGCGCTAGCACTGAGCGTCAGTACGGGTGGTGACGGTGATGGTGCAGGCGATGGCAAGGGACTGCCACTCTTCGCGAAAAGGAAGGATGTGCGGCGAGTCACCGGGCTATGTCGCAACCGCTGGGGTGACGACGACGGCAGTTTGGGCAGAAACTGCTCTGGCCACTGCAAAGAACACATCAACAAAGCTTTGTTACACAAGTTCACAATGGTACGGAACTCTGCGTGACCACCCAGACACCTGCTCCGCTGTCCAGTCCTCTCGCCAGCAAGAGATGATGCTCCACGCGACGTGGGCACAGCGTGAACACTGAATGGGATGCGCTATCGTCCATCTCATGCCTGCACCGATGCAGCAGAGCCCAGCAGTAGAACGGGTCTGTCGCGTCGACGCGTGCGTGAGATTGCGCATTAAAATTAACATACGGGTATGTCTTTCTGACTTTCTTCTGTAAATTACAGTTGTTTTAGCTCATTTGTAGGTGGGTTGTAGATGTAGGAAAGCTCCTTTCTACACAGAGCACATTTACACAGGACATTCGCTTCTGAACGTCTTGCGTTTGTACATATTGCCACAATCACAGAGAACCCCATCTCCACCTACTACAAGAAGTAGAGGTTTTTCGGCTGAAGCACAAGCCGCATGCTCTGCACGGGCACGTGCTTATGTTCAAGTCATTTCTGTGTGCGCCTCGTCAAGTAGTACGGTTGCGCAGGTGAAATCCAACCAACGGCGCATACTCAGCGTTCTAGACTTGCACGGCTCTCGATGCACAGCCGTAGTACCTCGTAACCACCATCATCCTCCTAAACAAACCTTACTCTCACACACACGCACACACACTTGTACTTGTTGCTCACTGCCAAAACTGGTCGCGTGGGTCTCCCCGGGAGAGGGGAGAGAGACTCAAAAGGAATCTTGGAAAGATGACTCAATTGGCTATAGAACCGCCCAACAGCCGACACCCCCTGAAATCCCCAAAACTCTGGGTGGACTTGAAAATGATCCCACTTATGGGCTCACCACACCTCAGTAAGTGGGTGAGGACAAGGTGCAGAAAAAGGATTGACAGCATCAGGGTACCCGTCCCGGGATCCAACTGCAGTTACCCCTGCCCCCAGTGAAGGTAATACTTGCTACTAGTGTGGGTGGCTACATCAGAGTGGATCTGATACAAGCTTCACTAGCACCATGATTACACAAAAGTTAATCTAGCCAGAAGTAGTCCATGGTTAACAGGTATGTATACTTTAAACAGAAAGTATATGAACCCTGAAACCACCAAAGGTGGTAGACGCACACACACACACACACACACACACACACACACACACACACACACACACACGCGCGCGCGTGCGCCCGACTCACGAGTTGTTGGAGGCGCTTCATGGATCTGGAGCGATCGGCGTGCGATTCAACGAGCACGCGGAGACACGGCACGCATACATTGTGCCGGCAGAAGTCCATCTCGACCACGTACTTGGCTTGAACGGACATTCGGCATGCGAGACACCGTTCGGACGGAGGCTTTTTCTGTCTGGAGCGCTCGTGATGAGCAGCAGCAGCGAAGGACAGCGTCGGCCGGATACTTGAAGTGGCTGCAACATGAGGATGTGCACGTTTCTTTGGCCGCAGCGGTGGGGGTGAGTCGGTGAGATCCACTGCTTGAACTCCACGCAACGTTTCACCTGCCGTTAAGAAGAGAGCACACATGTGAACGCATGCACATACACACATTCCCATCATTGAGACAATGATAGCGAATACGCAGGCAGCTTGTGCCAGGATGATACCATTTAGCGGCTCACAAGGCTGATAAATTTGCCCACCACTATGTGTTGAGTGTGTGCGCATGTGTGTGTGTGTGTGTGTGTGTGTGTGTGTGTGTGTGTGTGTGTGTGTGTGTGTGTGTGTGTGTGTGTGTGTGTGTGTGTGTTTAGCTTTCTTTTACTTCACCATAAGCACAGGCAAAGTCTGCCTTGTGTGCATATGTGTGTGTGCGTGTGTGTGCGTGTGTGTGTGTGTGTGTGTGTGTGTGTGTGTGTGTGTGTGGTGTGTGTGGTGTGTGTGTGGTGTGTGTGTGTGTGGTGTGTGTGTGTACGTGTGTGCGTGGTGTGTGTGTGTGTGTGTGTGTGCATGTGTGTGTGTGTGCATGTGTGTGTGTGCGTGCGTGCGTGCGTGCGTGCGTGCGTGTGTGTGTGTGTGTGTGTGTGTGTGTGTGTGTGTGTGTGTGTGTGTGTGTGCAGTTACAGTGCCTCTTACCAGACACGAGCGGAGTGGGCTGTGACATCGCCATGGCCGTAGTGGAAGCAGCAACTCCTGCGCCGCGCCTTATAGCGTCTTGCACGTTACTACTCGACACCAAGCTGTTGGTCAATAGCGGTACGCTGGTGCTGCTAATGCCGCTGTTGATTCCGTCGACACTGCTCTGGCAAAGGTCAACCAAGGTCGGGTTGAATGGCACATGAGAACCTGCCTTGGGCAATGCTCCTAGTTGTAGTGAACTGCTGGCTCCGGATACATACATTTCCATGTCGCCATCAAAGCTCAGCATAGTAGACACGCCTTACAACGCGCACAGACAAACACACAATCGTAAGGTACACGCAACACGCAGGCACACGCAAGCAGATGACACAGACCCCCAGACACACACATGCGCGCATGCACGCACACACACAAAACCTTGAACCTCGAACATGCCCATTGCCGCAACGATAGCGAAGGGACTATCTGCTAGCTTTTGCAGTACGGAGCACACACACACACACACACACATACACATACAAACACACACACGCATGCACGGTCTCCACCCCCCACCCCCCACACACACACAATGAAATCCGATGGCACGGGTCAAGTACACCCCGGACGCTGCGTAGCCCTGGATCCGCCAACAGCGGGCTGTGAGCTGGTGCAAGGCGCTAACTTGACTCTCAAGATTGGACTTCATTGAGCAACCCAGTAGAGGGCCCCCTCTAGGGAGAATCCCTTTATTTAGGCTAAGGATTGGAGAACCTATAGAAACACTACACTCAGACCTCGATTATCTGGGCGGTCCGGGACCGGGCACTGCCCGTAACTTTGAAATGCCCGTAACTCCGAATCCCGTACATGTTGATGGGGAAAGGCCATAGAACTTTGAAATGCCCGTAACTCCGAGTCCCGTACATTTTGATGGGGAAAGGCCATAGATATGGCATGCTAGCAGCATTCACAACTGAAGTCTCTACGAGCGGGCCTATATATTCGGTGCTATTGAGTTATAGTGTGGGAGTTGCCTCAACTGGCCTTGTTTGTAAATACAACATAGAACGGAACAACAAGGACAATCAAGGCGTGTTTGCTGCTACTTCAAGTTTCATGCTCTCGCAATCATCAGGCAACATGAAGAGCGGGTGCCGACCATGCCGGTATATATGCCAGGATACAACATACAAAATCCAGTGTACGGCCATGCATTCTCTAAGCCACACTGCCATGGGCATGGACAGTGAGTCACACTTAAAGCACGGCCCTTCACTGGAATTGAGTCCATACCATAGTGTGGCACGTCGGGAGCTGTTACAGTCGCAGGCTCCATGAGCCACGAGAACGCCTCTTCCACGCTGGTAAACTTGCGCACAGCCTCCAGCACCCTGTCACAGCAACAGCAGGAAAAGGCAAGCACGTACGACAGAGCAAACTGTTCAGCTACATGACCACGACGAGCAGTGGTGTTCCTACCATGCAGTTAATTGTAAAACGTCAGTACCGTCGGTCGGTGCCGTGCAATGTTATCGCATGAGCTGATTGTCAAGTAACTGGTGGTGTTAGTGGACATTATAGCGTAACAAATTTGCTTGTAGTTCCTTGGTCCTTTTCTTTGCTATGAAGTGATATCAGAACAAGATATCAAAAGCAAATAGCATTCTCGCTGGTCAAAATATCAGTAGACCAAAACAAATAATAACCTTGTTTCAGGTCGGCCAACCATGTCGTTTTTCCCCCAAATTCTGAAACTCCTTTTGGTCCGCTTATGTATACGCTAGGTGCACTCATGCGCCTGCAGGTACCACAGTCAGACCTCGCTTATCCGGTCCTCTTTTATCCGGATACCTCACCATCCAAAAGAAATCGTTGGTTACCGATTGTCATGCATACATACAGTACGCGTGTTCGATTATCCAGTTCCCTCGCCTATCCGGATATTTTCGTGGAAAACGGATGTGTGCGGTTAAGCAAGGTCTGACTGTAGTAGCTGGCGAAACCGCTCACTTGCATCGTGCATGCATGTGTGCAGCGCTAATGCACCCAGTGGTTGTCCACACGTAGTCGCTATCAGGAGTACACGGTCTGTGCGAGAGCAGTCATGACGTCGGTCAACTGTGACACGGATCCAAACCATGATGCACACAGGCATACCAGAATCAAAACATGCATCCCGCACTGTAATGATAGCGGCCATGGTGATATACGCGGCACGCAAGTGCGTGGACGTGCACCTGAAAGGCATGCCACTTCCACAATACAGTGTGCAATACGGTGTCATTCTCATGCACACATCTACAGACACCACGACGTGGAAGTAGTCTAGCACCTCATTTATTTATTTATTTTATTCCAAACAATACAGGGCTGGGGTAGCCAATGACCACTTTGCGTGGGCGATTGCAGGGTTTTTATAGCCAACCACGGGGGGGGGGGGGGGGGGGGGGGGAGGGGTCGTGTACGTGTATGTATAGTTGTATGTCATGTACACGTGATATCGCTGGTAGTGATGCATCGGCTATAGTGATAAAACACTGAAAAAAAGGCGCACTATAGCCCTTCTTGCAACTTCCAGCCTACAATGCATTGGGCATATTTTCAAACACTCCAGAAGACTTTGAGCTGGGATCAATTTTAAATTAAATTTCCGCGCTGCGAACGACTCTTCCTATTCTGCCTGCGTCTGCTTCCTCTTGCCAATTTGCCACAACATGCTGTCTTATGCACTTCTCAGCAGCTGTGTCTTGTTATTGTATTTCTGTTGCTGTTGCTCTTTTACCTTTAGGTTAAGCTTTTACGTTATTGCTATTAATTTCCATGCCGCGCCGAATGCTCAGTACACTGCGTTCATTTCCTGAGCCCATTCAGCACGTGCAAATCTGTGGGCGGTTTACCACCGCTGACGACGACGCGTCAGTGCATTATTATTACTATTTGTATCAGCATTTTCGCGTTAACATCACCAAGCAAGCTTGGCTAGTCTTTGCTTAAGCCAAATGCATAATAAAAATTTTAAAAACCCTGGTTTGAGTCCTGGTGGTGACAGTCAATTTTTCTTCAGACTTCTCCTGAAGTAGAGTAACCCTCTTGCGCATGTTGTACGTAATGTCAGGGCTCACCACGACCATACAAAATTCAAAAAGCGTCGACCACCATTTTGAAACATGGCGATTGCCGCGCAGGCCAGCGTTGGTGCAGTCATAGCGGCTACGCACCCGAGTTCGTGGTGATCAATGTACAGGGATGTACAGTAGAGTTCCTGTCTGTGCAGCGAAGGGCCAGTGCCGAAGAGAATCTTGTTGTTTGATGCCGGGAAAGACACGAGGAGAAGACGTCCTTTCTCCAAGCCATCTTGGTCATTTTTCTCCATCCACTGGTGCATGCCTACCAAGATATGTCCGTGAGATACTGGAGTCCTGGCATCTACACGATTTTGCCGCTCCTAGCTAACCAATGTTGTCAGTTGAACTCAGCGTTTCCTGATATACGGCTCGGCAAACTCTTTTCTGTTTGACCTCGCTGCTTTCACCCTGCGAGTGTGGAGTTTCCTAGCCACTATTGAATTTCTTAGTCATGACCATGATGACAAGTGACTGGTATGATCCCTGACTGGCCTGAGTCCTTAGCTTGAGTCAACACGAAGGTAAACTCTTCACTTGGAACTAGGGGTGAAAGTTGGCATTGAGATCCCGAGTTCGAGTACTCTGATTTTGTCCGATCGAATATTCGAGTATTTGAGTATTCTTCCTCTCCTAAAAAATTGCACACCGAGGGCCTTAAAATCACATGATACAACCCTGATTGAACCGAGTGGTAGTCATTTTCTCGGGTATATTGGTTGGTGGGTCATTTGGGCTCTCTTTACTCGTGAACAAATGTTCACCACACAGTCTGTACATCATTCTCCTCCGACTGCTGCTCTGAAACTGCAGATTTCTGTGGTAAATGCACGTACCATGTATGAACGAGTACTCTGATTTATTCCGAGTACGATTATTTCTGAAAAAAACCGAGCGAGTACTCGAGTATTCGGTATAATTGTTTCACCCCTACTTGGAACCCTTGCTGTCTCCTCGGTCCTTTCTTGTTGCACTTGCAGATATGCGCACGGCTGCCTGGTTTTGTTGGTGCGCGCGGCCGACCTTGATGTCTTCAAAAAAGTGCTTCAGCGGTTCTACTTGGCCGATTCTCACCGTCGATAGCTCATTTTCAAGGTCTTGGAATTCTCTATCGGTTAACCGTCTCCGATTTTTATATTTTGTCTTCATTCACTTGTTCGCACGTCTTCAAGTTTGAGTGATTTCACCATCCGATCTCAGGCAAACGAAGGCCAAATCGAAAAATTCGAGACGGTAACCCTCCAAAGACACACCTTCTGAACACGAATCCACAATGGCCTAATGTCTAATACCAACGAGTACAGCCAAGTTAAAGGGGAAGTTAAGGCAAAAATTAAAATTTCACCAGTTGTAGTCTTCGGGATGCTGAGTCGAATGGTCTTGGTCCGAGAAAGCTGAGACGCTCCCTTCCTACTTGAATCCCAATCGAACTCGCGCACTTCCACCGAAACTGGGTGACTGCGCCCTACGAGATGGGGATTTGTATGCAAAATGTCACTAAAAGCGCCATTTCGTTCTTATAAAAGCACGGATGACCACGATTGGCCCATATGTTGTAGTCTTTTGGACGCTCAGTCGACTGGTTTTGGTCCGAAAAGGCTGCGATGCAGCGTTCCTCCTTTATTCCCAATCGAACATGGTTGAAGAAGCGGTCACGTGCTCCTGGGTGCCAAAATCACCTGGTCACCACGCCAGCAGGCGACAACTTTCACACCAAGGTTCAACTCGAGTGACAGGACTGCACCCAAAAAAGGTCAAAACAGGCTGTAAGTTGTACCCTGCAGGCACGGTGACCAGGTGACTGGTGTACGCAGGAGCACGTGACCGCTTGTTCAACCATGTTCGATTGGGAATAAAGGAGGAACGCTGCATCGCAGCCTTTTCGGACCAAAACCAGTCGACTCAGCGTCCAAAAGACTACAACATATGGGCCAATCGCGGTCATCCGTGCTTTTATAAGAACGAAATGGCGCTTTTAGTGACATTTTGCATACAAATCCCCATCTCGTAGGGCGCAGTCAACCAGTTTCGGTGGAAGTGCGCGAGTTCGATTGGGATTCAAGTAGGAAGGGAGCGTCTCAGCTTTCTCGGACCAAGACCATTCGACTCAGCACCCCGAAGACTACAACTGGTGAAATTTTAATTTTTGCCTTAACTTCCCCTTTAAGCTCAGAAAACACCCCACAATTGCAAGAAACTGCCCGTTTTGCCGTGCGCTGATTGGTCAAATCCAAATGACCGTTATTGACGCTTTGTATGGTCGTGGTGAGCCCTGAATGTAATGATTGATACGTACTTTCGATATTGATTTCGCTGGTGCATGCGCTGGTGCACGCGCTGGTGCAGCCAGTTGTTTTGCGTTGTACGTGATGCAGCTTGTTGAGGAGAAGGGTTTTCAATATCTTGTGTTCAGTTCTTCTTGCTTCTGGCCTGGTCGAGGTCATGCTTTTTCTTCTGTACACTCCTTGTGCATTTTGGAATTGAAATTAATAATTATAGTCCAACTTATATCCTTGCGCTGGTCTGGTGGTGGATAATTCCACAACACTCCCTTTTCTACTCCAACTAGTGAATAAGAATAAAATTAATAATTATTAATAATAACTGAGAACGATTCTCATTCATTCAACATCGTGGCTTTGAGGTGACATGGTCTCGCGAGGCACACGCGCATTTGGATTTTGGCTTGCAAGCTAGTATAGTGCATAAGCAGCAGCGTTGTACATGATTTTAAGCCACCTCTCAGCAGGATGTGCAAACCCGATTCATTTACATTCTCAAAATACAAAAAATATAATACTGAACCGAATGTGGAGAACAGACACGAACAACAGCGTACCGTTTCTTGTCGAACCCATACGGCGTTAAGGAATCTATCATCTTCTTTCTTTTCTCCTTGTCTCCTGCCGTGGACAGGGCTTCATTGTCTGAGTCACTGTCGACGACCACGACTGCAGTACTCATTGTCCAGGCACAAAGTATTCTGAGAGATTTCTTTTTGACTAAGATAAAGGGCTAGACACGGTACGGCCAGGGAAGGGAAGCACACTGCTGTGAAGTTCCCTATATTATAGGTGTGCACTCAGTTTCTCCGTGTCGATATATCACTGCACCAACTCTGGAAGCTGAAGAAACAGCCTACAAAAACGTGAAACGACAACCTAATTCGAATGAGTCATTCACTGATCCATGTGAAGTGTGACTGAAACTTTACTTGCTTGAAAGCAGTGCAGCTACGTAGTCTGCATTGACATTGTACTTCACAATCACAGAGCGTTCCACATGCACAAGCTGGGTCAGGACTCAGGCCAGGAGCTACAAATCAATGACGTGCTCTTCTAGAATTCTTCGGAGTGCATGCTGGGGAGCTGTCGTCGTGTGGACGCAGATCTAGGTGTCGGCATGCACTAGCTGTCCACGCATTTCCTGGTGATCCCTGCTAGCAAGAGCTGCTGCTATGCATTTGCGGACCTCTGCCAGTGCAATGCCAGGGTCGCAGGTACGGCTATTCGATGTGCGATGATCTACTTATCGGTATGACCACTACTACTGGCACTACAATGTAGGCCCCGCGGTCCGGTGTATTCATGGTAATGGGGCTGTTAAGTGTGACGTCACGGCCCCTTCGATACGCATAGCAACGGAGAGCACTGGGGACAAACAAAAGTCGCGTCCTCTGGATGGAACCAGTTGTGAAGGGCAACAGCATCTAAATGACTGGAGAGAGAGCAGTTTTTCTTTGCTTTTTCGTCAAGCGATTGTTGTCGCTCTTTACTCCTTGTTCTTTCCTCTACAAATCTCCTGTAGTCGTCGAGGGCCTTCATAATGGCTGTGAAATTGGCTGCCCACTGTAAAACTCCGTGTTTGAGAGTGCTTTGAAGATTCTTCGCCTCCTGATGGATCAAAGTACGAGCGCTCCCTGTGGATTCGATTATACGTAGGTGAGTTGTTCAAGAAATCAGTGTCTTCTTTCTGTCTCTGCCCTCACGCTGGCACAATATCAGCCTCGATATCCATGACAGCCCGCACCTCTCGTAGACTGCCCTGACTTAGCTGTATTCTCGCCCTCCGTGGTGATTGAAGACCCATGGAAGAAGTTGTTCAGAATGATGTCCTGAGAATATAAAATAAAATAATTCCAGGGAATTGTTACAGGGTATTTTGGAAGGATGGAGAGAGAGAGAGAGAGAGAGAGAGAGAGAGAGAGAGAGAGAGAGAGAGAGAGAGAGAGAGAGAGAGAGAGAGCACTGTTTGAAGTGTTTGTCTCACTGTAATTACTCCAGATTATTGAATGGTGTATGATCTACTCGATATTTTCCGCAATGGTTTTTCCTGATTTGCGGGATCTCTTCTTTTGCTGTTTGCGTGTTTACAGGAAGTGACTGTCTGGTGTATCTGCACCAGATCCTGGGGAAGTGAAGTCAGATGCAGAGGCAGGGTCGTCCAGTGATGCAACACTGCCGTTCTATGTGCAACGTCACCGCTAATTCCCCCGGCGAAAACACAAACACGTGAAGAGACTACAGTATTGACCGTTCTGGTAATGAATCGTGACTGATCGGACAGTCGATAATCGAAACACAGAGCACCAGCATGATGTTTTCATATTGGGAACCACACACCAGCTCAATTCTCAAGCCCAAAAATTGATTAATACAAAACACAGAGCGACGCAACAAGAGATCATCCGGAAACCAAACCAACCTGGGTCTGATGCACTGAATAGTCCTGAAATACGCAGGCCACACAAAGCAGTGCAAGCACAGACTGTTACAAGGTACATGCATTGCAGAACAAAGTGTAACCAAAGATACACAGGGTTATAGCTGCACACTCGTGCATGTGCTCGCTCAGCCCAAGAACACGCAGGATAATAGAAATAATCCGGGGGAAACACGCTAATGTCATGACCGGGGAGTGGGCCAGACATACTCTCAGGATTCTACAATTCCAGGTTCTTTACGGAAATATACCAGGAGTCCAGATACCCATTCCTCACCCTCACCACACAAGAAGACCAAAGCTTCACTCTAGGACCAAGCTCAAACAACAGAGAAGCAACAAGAACAACAACAACCAGCGATCGATGCAAAGCATCGAGCTATATACTACAAGACCTAGTAGCGTGCACGGCGCGGAGCGAGCGAGTAGCCAGCAAAGCAAGAATAGTGATAGGTTTCACAACACTATTGATCGACAAGACACATCGCCGCCACGGCAAACACTTCATAAAGACACATGTATAAGCAGACGGAATACAATACAGATAATGACATTGTAGCGACACACGGACACGACACTAGCACCGAAGTAAGCATCAAGACGTAAATAGTGCAGCTCTGAAAAAGTAAAAACTACATTGACATGTACATTGGTGTGCCGAGTAGTATCATCCTTGATCACCCATCCAACCAAGACGTTATCAGGTCCCAGACGCCGAGATCCCACGCCGAATGTGAAGTGCATCTAGCCTTGAACCTGTTGCACAAGGCACACACATATGACAAAAAATGACATCCACTCCGATTATTTCCAGAGGCCAATCATAACAGAACACAGAAATGAAGCCACGGACTCAACAAAGTAAACGCAAAGGAAATTAGTTAAAATAATCCATGAAGTGCTATTTTAATTCCAGCGCTGACTGCAGTGTGGCGTCATGGCCCGATACCCGCGGAGCATAGACACAAACTCCATTTGACAGGGGCACGACATACTATTTTGGAATAAAGTCACAGGGGCGTAGCACCCGCTACGACTGGTACGATCATGGCCGCACCACTTTTCGAAAAGTGTGGTCCGTCTGGAACGTGCAAAACCGTAATAAAAAATCAGGATCCAGCGATATTTGCATATGCGCATCAGACCTTTTCTAGACTCGTACTCGTAGATCTGTTATGCATCTGCAGTCGTACTGAGTACTGTACTCGACTCTACTGCACACTGCGCCAGAAGTGTGCCAGAAGTTCCCAGAACGCAGGATTTTGTGTCTTTTACAAAATTTCCCGGGGGGGGGGGGGCGGACCCCCTCCAACACGGCCTTCCGCCGCACCGACCTTCGGTCGTACCACTTCCAAAACCCCTCCTACGCCCGAGTCATAAAGTACAGCACTCCAATGACATGACGGACACCTCGTGCAAATGCGTGGTCTGTTCATCCGGCCAACTCGGCCACGCATGAGAGTGTGTGCATGTACGCGCGCACGCAAGCGCGCACGTGCACACACACCATGTATTCGGTGCGTATGGCGTACCTGTTGCGGAGATAATGAAGATGGAATCATTATCATGATGTTACATGTACATGTACAGTGTATGTTTGAGTGTAAAGTAAATTTTATTTTATTACACATTTCTTCGACACAACTTACTCCACATCTTCGCATTTCTCATAATCCATCCATCTACACTCCGTCTCAGTTGAGGAAACTTCTCCCAGGTATACACTAGTCACCACAGCCATGTGATGACATTGGGATGGGCCCCAAGCAGTGCACGATTGCACTCTCTAGTTACAATATAATTTATTTGTCCAGATTATCTGTGAAGACAAAATGCAATGCATAGCGGCAATCGATGGATGAAGAGAGAGTTTGTAAATACACATATCTTTCCACTTGTTCAGGAGTTTACCTTTTGGAGTTCACATCGTTTACACGATCTGTTATGCTGTCTTGCACCTTGGCTTTGTTGACCATGGATACGCCATCCCAGAAGACATTCTACAGGAGCTACTAATGCAGAGCGTTTTTCACGCTCGATCTCGGCGATCTACCTCGTCACGCCAATAAAATCCTCCGTGACACTGGCTACAGCCACAAGAGATGTCTCAGTAAGGTAATGAGCACGACAACGCCGTCGAGATCAAGGAAAAAGAGAAAACAAAACACTCACTGAAAACAGCAAAGAAGAAACGAAGAAATGTACACGATTCCTATATGTTGCCACTGACAACTGGTTCGGTGGAGACGACGCTACTTTTGTTTGTCCCCAGTGGGATCGTTGCTATGCGTATCGAAGGAACTGTGACGTCATCACTTAACAGCCCCATATGCCCGAAACTTTGCCGAAAATGCTTTTGGGAAATTCTCGTGAACCTTGCCGAAAATGCTCCCAAACCTTGCCGAAAATGCTCACTTTTTTGTCATCCTCAGCACACGCCGTCAAAACCAGTGAGTCAGAAAATACTCAATAATAATAATATCTTTATTAGGATGACCCAGAGGCTTGTCGCCTATCAAGGGGTTCACCGCTTTGAAGGATGTACATGTACACGTATGAGCTAAAGTGAAAGTAGTGAAAAGTTGTGCAGCGGGAATGCGTTGGGGAGCACACGGGGGGGGGGGGTTATGTACATGGCGTAGGCATACCGGAGAGCAAAGCACTATGTTTGCAAGTGAGTTTGCGAAGCTCATTCTTGAAAACAATAATGGATGGTTCTGCAGTTAGTCTTGGTGGGAGGCAGTTCCATAAGAGGGAGGTTTGGAAGAGAAACAACGATTTTGATGTGGTCTTTGCTTTAGGGAGAATAATTTTGTTAGGGCGTCTCGCACTCTGCGTGATATTGAAATGGAATGAAGCTAGGCAACGTCGATACTTGCAATAAGAGACTTGCTCGAATCTGCCATGATAAACAATTCATGAACTACTCAACAAGAAGCTAACCCACGGAATGCGGAAGTGACGTTCTTGTTTGGGAAGTTTTTCTTCTCTCAATTAATTATTTTGATACACAACGGCCAAGTGCTCCGTTTCCCCCAAAATGCTGCATCACGAGCCCAAAGTGCTGGGTTCGCGGATTGTACCGAAAATGCTCAAAAAATGCCGCCATATTACACGGGGCCCCGGGGCCGGGGGCCTAATGACCACTAATTTTCGTAGGCGCTTTCGATAGTATGATGCCTTGTCGTCAGAATGTCAGGTGCTGTACTGTAATCCATTATTGGCTTTGGCGTTGGTGAATTGAAGGACATAGTCTAGATCGTGCAGTGGCATCATGCCATGGATTATTTATTATTATTTATTTATTTATTACAGCATCTCATAGCACAGTGAGAACACCGGCCAATACAAAGAGAGAGGGTTAGCCAACCACGGCAAGGAAGGGAGAAGGGGAGGAGAAAAAAAAGGAACCGGCATGGATAAGTAGTGATTGCAACAAAATGAGAAACACAAAATCAAAGTCAAGGCGCGACAAGGCTCTTAGGCTCTTCGATTTACTGTGAATAACCTGATATAATTATATGCCGATCAGATCTGATTTTTTTAAAGAGATTTATATTATAATAATATTATTACCTTCCTTGATACAGGCGACGGACTAAGCATGCAAAAATAGGGAACGGGAGGAAGGAACAAGATAAGAAGAATCCTAGGTCATTGCAGACATTGCAAAACAAATGAATACTTAGTATAGGCGAGGAAAAACTATTACTTACACTTACATATCATGATATCACTGTGATATCACTGGGCATACATTTTCGAGAGGGTACGTACA